GTGTGTGTGTACAGAACATTGTCAGCTGGCCTGGGCGTAGCTCCCCCTCCTGCTCACTGATTTGAACCGTTGTATACTAAACTAACTGGGAATTTGGGAAATTAAATTAACCATTTACTTCATCCTGATACCTTTGCTTGCTACTGGAATACGTCTCTCTAGCTAGCTGGTTTAGAACTTAGGCTAATGTTATAACCTCCAGTACTCCACATTAACACCCATTTCTCATTATTGCATATATTATCCCTTCTCATTAGACTTATAAAGTCCCTAAATACATATCTCCTCCATTTGAAGACTGTCCCAGATTACCCAAAGCATGCTGTTCCACATTCTCAATTATATTTGATAACGTGGGACAACAAAAAAAATGTTTGAAAGAAAAAAAACAAACACATTTTAAAGACTTTAATACATATTTTGTTGCTTGAATAGATCACAAACATAATTAGTAATGTCAGAAGCACCCTCAGTGATTATTTCTGGTTGGTATACGCTTTTATTGTATAGCCTACAAAAACAACTAAATACAAATGCACTAGAAAAAATAATTTAATAAATGCATATTTACAATTTAAGCACTTAACTAAAATAAGTATTAAATAATTAAATAAATAACTAGAGAAGGCTGACTATAACCAGTTTGCTTCCATTTAGTGAGAAAAGCCTTGGCTACTCTTCACCTGAATTAGAAAAAAAAGCTCTTCTGGTCTTCAGTGATGCGAGGACAACGTTTGAGCGTGCACACGCAATATCTGAGCGAGAGCAGAGCCAATTCATGAAACAAAATAAAAAAACAACGTATAGTTAAAAGCACACGTCCAGTTTTGTATGAGTGAAGGAAACCCGCTTGCAGATTCTTGCGGTGAGATTCTTGCTCACGCATTACATGGATCGCGTAACATTATGCGCTCTTGACATTTGTCATTAAGATCACGCTATAGAAACCGCTTAAAATGAAGTATAAAGAAGAGCAGAAAGCGGCCCTAGGCAGCTACACAGGGTCCGCCACTGCCAGATGCAGTTAGAAATTTACTAAAAACAAGCCTATCGCAAGATATCTGGTAAGCGGGGGGGCACCTGGGGTGGCCAGACAGATTTCAGGTGGGCGGTGCCACCACGTAGACACGCCCCTGGTCACGAGGCGATCACGTGAGGCGCTCCCTCTGGCATGATAATCTTAATAATATCTTGTAGTGTTTGATGCGCCATGATGTTCAAATCTTGTAGTGTGTGCATGTTTAAGATTTGAGAGAAGATAATCTGCAAAGATTCTCCTTGTGTGTGTGCTGCAACCAGATTTCATAATCGGTTAGGATTTTAAAACTCCTGTAGTGTGAGCCCGGCTTAAAAGACCTTCAGAATGATATAGGATTTGTTGGAATCGGATGAAAAATGTTTATAAAGCGGAGAGTTCTGGTGCTTGATTCTGATTGGCTGAGCCGCGTTCGAAGCTGTTGTAAATGACGCTACAAAGTAACACACACCTTTGTTTACGTTTGTGTGTTGCTCGGCAACCACTTAGGATTTTAAAACTCCTGTAGTGTGAGCCCGGCTTAAAAGACCTTCAGAATGATATAGGATTTGTTGGAATCGGATGAAAAATGATTATAAAGCGGAGAGTTCTGGTGCTTGATTCTGATTGGCTGAGCCGCGTTCGAAGCTGTTGTAAATGACGCTACAAAGTAACACACACCTTTGTTTACGTTTGTGTGTTGCTCGGCAACCACTTTGTAGCAACCACAACTGTTTCTGAGGAGCTACATTGTTTGGTGGAAGAATACTGTGTTTATTAATATCATTACACTTTATTTGCTCTGCTTTATTCTGTGAAACCTTGCTACGTATATAACCGTTTTATAAAAGCAGTAACCCCCGTGAAGCCGTGGTTTACACTGAATTAACCTAACAACGCCAGCTGTTATAAACTCACTGTAAACCACGGCTTCACGGGGATTATTGCTTTACTGAGCTACACCTGTTTGCAGTCTCAATTCTGAGAAAAATCAAGTTGAACTTTTCTGAAGGTTCCAATTTAGCAAAATCACAGAGCAACTCTGCATTGTTTCCTCCACTTCCTTTCTTAATATTAATTATCCTACTATATTAATAAGCACAATATAGCCATTATTTTATTTGATCTTTGTTACTAAGAATAAGAACAGATGCAAAAAACAACAACAGAACAAATATAAGAAAGAAACAAACAAATAGACCTAGTGCATAACTTTTTTCATTTTATATATATATATATATATCATAATGGCCAATCTGTCCTATTTTGGGTGAACATAATCCTATTTTCGGAAACATAATACCTCTCTCAAAGGAAATGCTAAGCAGACATATAATAATCCACGCTGTTTCCAGGTTTCCAGGAGTTTTTTGTTGTTAATATGTTGCAAAAAACACAGAAACTGTGGTTAAAAACCGAGGTACGTATTGAACTGTGTTGTTGCATCTCTAGTAACAATATATACATTTGTTTTAATGTTTTTTTTCTGGTCGTAGTCTGACCTGTGTTTTGCCCTGCTGTCCGTACACGATCTTGGTGGGGATGATTTTGGTGGACGGCTGGATGCCGGCGCCGAGGCTCTTGGGCTGCGTCACGAACATTTTGGTGATGGGCCGCGATGCAGTGATGATAGCAGGCTTGGCTCCGGAGACGGCCTGCAGCGTCTTCTCTCCCTGACACACACACACACGCACGCACAGACAGACACACACACGTGTCATGAATCATTGCACACCAGCTTTTAACGATGTGTGATTTGACATTATCGAGTATTTTGCAAAAACCAAACAAAACACATCTACAGAGCGCACGCATACATTAGCGATGAAGTCTAGTGAGTTAGACCAGTGTGCGTTCTTTCACTGCATGACTCGGTCTATTAAAATACATTTAGAATAATCACAAAGTGTATATTGTTAGAAAATATTTCTATTTTAAATAAATGCTCTTCTTTTTAACTTTTTATTCATCAAAGAATCCTGAAAAAAGTATCGCAGCTTCCAAACAAATAACAGTTTCCAGCTCTGATAATAATCAGCATATTATACTGATTTCTGAAGATCATGTGACACTGAAGACTGGAGGAATGATGCTGAAAATACAGCTGCGCATCACAGAAATACATTACAGTTTAATGTATATTAAAATAGAAAAATGTTATTTTACATCATAATAATATTTCACAATATGAAATTGTTTCCTGTATTCTTGATCTAATAAATGCAGCTTTGATGAGCAGAAGAGACTCCTGTAAAAACATTAAAAATCATTCTGATCCCAAACTTTTGACCGGTAGTGTATAATATATACCACTTCATAGTTAATCAATTTCACACAAAGAGTGCCGTCTAAAGTGCCAAACATTACCATGATAACAAATGTGATATTGATTTTTTACAACAGTTCAAAGTAAACTAAGAGACTTACGTTTTATGGCCAGGGGCCAGTTGCATAAACTTAGCCACCATGTTAAGACCGTGTTTAAGAACTAGTTTAACCAACTAGCAGCTGCCAAGTATTACTTCTCCTACCTTTTCAGAACTGAACTTTAAAAGTTATGACCAGTCTTGAAGAAGAAAAAAATTAAAAATTAGATGACTAACTTTTTAAGACTTTTTAACTTTTTAGTCTAAATAGTTTATGCAACCCGCCCCTGGTTTCACAGACAGGGCTTAGACTAAGCCAGGATTAGGCCATAGTTCAATTAGGACATTTAAATCATTTTTATGAATGTACTTAGAAAAAAAGCATTACTGGTGTGCATCTTGAGACAAAACAAAGGCATATTTTGATATAGAAAGATGTATTTTATGATCAGTCAGTGCCAGTTTCTTTCAGTTGAAACAGCTCAGACTTACATTTTAGTCTAGGATTAGACTTAAGCCTTGTCTGTGAAACCGGGGGTATATTTCCTGGTTTTGCTCTATTTCGACAACAAAAATAATTCCAAACACAGCCACAATGCTCTGAGCAACATGACGGTGTTTCGTTCCTGAATGAATCAAGCGTTTAAATGATTCGGTTCAATCACAATTAATCACTTATTAACCGTGACTTGCTGCCACCTACTGGCGGTTTTAATTACTTATTCAGTGTTTTATGATTAATATATCAAAACATTATTTATGCACGTGTAACTGCAGGTTAAATGCATTCATGTCCTGCATTAAACAGTGTGTAAACACATCTAAACACCTCTTCAGATGCAGCTTCTGAGTTTCCTCGGTGCTCAAAGATTAATTTTATTGATACTGATTTAATTTGCTCTGTAACAGCCCAAATGTCTTATTCTAATTCACTGATGAAATGTAAGAATTTGACTAAAAAGATGATGCACACTTTTAGAAAAAATGGCTTTATAAAGGTAAAAATGCTCATAAAATGTAAAAGTCAGTTTAAACTTATTGGAAAAGATTAATTTCCATCAGTATGAACTGACCAGCACACAGAATATGAAGAATATCAAACACTTTAGGAGTCAGCTGTCCCGGTATAGTCCTTACGATATCAGCACAATAACACACTCAGAAAAATATCGTTGATATTATATTTTGTCAATATCGCACACCCCTGGTGACCTCACCCCTGCGTTCAGCAGCGTCGTCACCACGTTCTTCCCTGGCAGACCCTGGATGGTCGTCCCTTTGCCGGAGGTCTTCTGCACCACGATGACGTTGGGTTTGGAGGTCATGGGGATGGTGGTGATCTTGGTGCTGGTTCCTGTGAAGGCAGAGCTAGTGTTGGACGATACGCAAATTGTGACCCTGGACCACAAAACCAGTCATAAGGGTAAATTTTTCGAAATTGAGATGTATGCATCATCTGAAGCTGAATAAATAATCTTTCCTTTGATGTATGGTTTGTTAGGATCGGACAATATTTGGCTGAGATACGACTATTTGAAAATCTGGAATCTGAGGGTGCAAAAAAATCTAAATATTGAGAAAATCATCTTTAAAGTTGTTCAAATGACGTTCTTAGCAATGCATATTACTAATCAAAGTTAATTTGTAAAAACAGACTTATAACTATTTTCAAAAATATTTTTTTTTTGTGCATTCCAATTAATCTCAATCAAACTGCAGTTGGGTTCTTTTGCTTAAGTAAAAATAACAAAAAGTGCAATGATATTTAGTTTGCAAACACTTTAAACAAATAAGGTGCTTTTTTACAGAAGTATTCCTTTTACATAGCAGCAGCTAAAATATTTCTTGTAAATCTCAAATTATAACATTAATGTAATCAAATTAAACATAAAACCAAAGCTATTTGCCACTGCCAGGGCATTAACATTTTCATAGAAAATATTTTATAGTTTGTTATAGAAAAACAAGTTCTGCTCAGAGTCCAGATCATAACATTTCTGAGCAGCAAAAGTGATAGATCTGTAAAGCAATATATTGTGAGAGGGCCGTGTGTTACCGTGTCCCAAACGACTCAAAATAATAAACCACAAAACGATGCACTCCACTGTGCTGAGATGACAAATTAAGAGCTGAATTAACATTGCTTTATATTCTGAAATGTAAAATAAACATTTAATGAAATGAATATAAAACATCAATTTGTAAATGCACCAGTGTGCACGCATTTTTTGTGTTTGTGTGTACCTGTGGGAGTGGACACCAGTTTAGTGGTCATGATGGCGCCGTTGCTGCTGACCACCATGATGGGGGCGGAGCTACTGCTGGACAGCGCGGCGCTGGAGGGTTTGGGTAAGATCTTACTGGGCTGCATCTGCTGCGTGATGATCTTCACTCCTGCACACACACACACACACACACACACACACACACACAGGGGATTTTTATTCGATAATACGCAGACACGCACTTTTTGTATGTTTAATAATGGATTGAGCGCCACACCTGCTTCTCATTTGTCATAAACATCCTTTACTGTTATAAAAATATCATGAGCTGCATAAAACATATCGCCATAATCATGCCTATTTGCGTTCATATTTCATGTATAGAAAATGGTTTCTCTAACTTTTTCATATGTAATGGCAGGAGATATAATCCCATGATTGACAGATCAAGAGTGAATGCGCTCTTAAGATCTTTGCACACCGAGTCCGAAATTTTCGCACGTTAAAAAATAAATACGACCTCACGTTGTGTTAATCACGTTTACACACTGCCGCCGAAACTTTCGTCCATCATAAAAAAATTCAGACCAGGTTCGGTTTTCTGTGTTTTCGCATCCGTAGCAAGCATTTTGACAGGAAAGGATGACGAATACGAAAAAAAACGACTTGGTATGCAATGACCTTTACACATCACACTCGCGCACGTGGAAGAATACGGACAGTGCTCTCCGGATCAGATCCAGGGGAAAATTTATAGAAATTATATTATGTATAAAGGACATGCGAGAATAAATCTGTTCTCAGATACCAAAGATAACAAGAACTCAGCATCCTCTTCTCTCAGAATACTGTTTACGCTGCTTTTGGAAACAGCGCCACCACTCTCACTTTTTGGTGCAACAGCAGCTGCTCCGGTTACGTGATCTTAGCTCAAATCTGAATGTTCACGTTCAGTGTGAAAAGGCCTTTAGTGGTGCAGCCCTGTGCTTTATCTGCTGTCTCATGCTCACCAGACTCCTGTTTGATCTGAATGGTGGGTTTGGCTCCGGCGGCGGCGCTCTGAGGAGACGAGGCCTGCAGGCCTTTAGGAGACGCAGACTGAACCGCCGTCTGCTGCTGTGCTCTGGGAATCTGCAGGATCTGAGACGGAGAGCTGACCAGAGCCTTGGGAGACGGCAGACGAGTGGAGGCCACCTTCACCGCCGCGGAGGAGCCGCCTGAACCACACACACACATTAAAGGGTTAGTTCACCCAAAAATGCTAATTAGTCCATGAATTACTCACCCTCAAATCATCCTAGGTGTATATGACGTTCTTCTTTCAGACGAATCCAGTCGGAGTTATATTAAAAATTGTCTTTGATCTTCCAAGCCGTTTAATGGCACTCAGCGGGTGTTGCATTGCATCAGTCCAAAAGAAGTTAAATAAAGCACATCCATCCATAAAAAAAAAAAAGTGTCTCACACGGCTCCGGGGGGTGAACAAAGGCCTCCTGTAGCGAATCAATGCGTTTTTGTAAGAACAATATCCATATTCAAAACGGAATAATGTAGCTTGCGCTCACTGTTGTAAAGGGAAGCACCTCCGGGTGGATGACGTTTGAGGTCGGCTTTGCGCATGCGCCGCTCAGAAGTCAAAACAAAACAACGGTCACTAATTAGAAGTACAAATCGAGGTTTGGTAAAGAAGAATGTCGGAGGATTTCGATATAAGCCAAGAGGAGACTGGTTTTCCTTTGCTCCTGTTAACAAACGTTGGTTTTCACGAGACTCACCAGCGCATGCGCAGCGCTGAACTCATACGTCATGCTCCCGGGATTAGGGACCAATCCTACAGGAGGCCTTTGTTCACCCCCCGGAGCCGTGTGAGACATTTTTTTTTATGGATGGATGTGCTTTATTTAACTTCTTTTGGACTGAAGCAATGCAACACCCGCTGAGTGCCACCAAACAGCTTGAAAGATCAAAGACAATTTTTAATATAACTCCGACTGGATTCGTCTGAAAGAAGAAAGTCATATACACCTAGGACGACTTGAGGGTGAGTAATTCATGGACTAATTTTCATTTTTGGGTGAACTAACCCTTTAACATACTGAAACACACTCTCTCGCTCACACACACACACTCTCACACACACACACACTAGGGTTGGGCCGATCTTTGCCGATGGCTGACAGACATCATGATGTTAAGCTCGTGACCCCCCCCTCTCCCGCAATCCGCCGCATCCCAGTTCCGTGTTCGGAAAGAAAAGGAAGTGTACTACGGAAACCCTAAAGAGAATAAATAGCCGCTACGAGATGGGAGGATCAAAAGTATAGGCGACCGTATATAAATTCATCAGGGAGCCCCTTTCGATTGCGCGCTCTCATTTTACTTTCACTTTCGAGATTCGCGATCACTAGGACTCTATACTATGGAGCGGCAGTACTATTACCACACATTTGACAAGATTAGATGTTTGTCATTGGTGCTCAGGATCTGCAAATCATTCGCCATCGTCCTATCAGACATTTCTCCTTAAGGTCTCTGCACACAGAGTCTGAAATTTTCGTAGGCTATTCGAAATCCTAAAAATTTGTCACGCACAGAAACCTTGCACACCGAGTCCGGTGCGTATGAATTAATCCGTTGCGAAAAAAATTCACAAAACAGCACTAAATGGAGTCTTCAAGCAGTGAGGATTATTTTGTTGTCCTCTCGCTTCTTAAAAAAAGAAAGAGAAAGGAAATATTGGGTCCATCCAATCCTGAGATATAGAGAGGAAGAGAGGACGCCCTCGTTATTAAAGAGCAGCGGGATTATCACGGGCGAAGTTTACTTCAGGATGTCAGTGGCTCAGGAATTCAGGAATAACATATTAAAAAGAAGACCACCAATTTCTGTGAACTCGGTGTGCAAGGATGTATATACAGTGCTTTGTGCTGCGAGACGAAGTGGATGAATTTGACAATCGCCATTCTAGATTTTGGCGTTTGCTTGTACGGTGGCTCTGAACTGTCAAAACACCTCTCAAAATGCTTGCTACGAATGCAAAAAACGAATTTTTTTTTTATGACGGACGAATATTTCGGAGGCAGTATGTAAACGTGATTGACATAACGTGAGGTCGTATTTATTTTTTAACGTGGACTCAGTGTGCAATGACCTTTACTCTGTGTATGTGGTAAGTGAACTTTCATGTACTGTAATGCAACAGGCTACCGCTAACCTTTTAGTGGCTCCGTATAACGCGTTATTTGTTTCACACTTTGGGCACACCCCTAACCCACACACACACTGAAACACACTCTCTCACACACACACACACACACACACACACACACACACACACACACACACACACACACACACACACACACACACACACACACACACACACTCACACACACA